CCATGTCTTCCCTTGTCAACTGTCAGTATAGTGGAATCAACGGCGATCAAATGGAGTATTCCATTCATAAAGACACCTCTTTCCCCGACCGGCACAACCTCATCGCTCCAACCATTTTCCTTGTGACTCCACGCTCCAGTTTCCGATGAGTAAATTTCCAGGCCAGTGATATATCCGTACTGATCTTCCTCTAGGAGCCGGAACACATGGAAGTGAGAGGAGACAGCCGGGTCGAAACCCAAACGCATTGTAGACACTGGGCTGTTGTTGTCAAGGGGCTCAGGCAGGACCACCCATTTATCAGCAGCGGGGTTGCACACCACGTAATTGAATTCATCTCTGGGATTCATCTTCCAGCACATGTTGAGGAGAAGGCCACCGCAGCAGTCCTTAGGACGGATCCACCTGTAGCCAGGCAAGAAAGGCAACGAAGGGTCTAGAAATGGAGGTTCTTCGGTCCCCCTGATGCCGATGAATTCGGGAATTGCTGTGATCTCGTTCTCTTGGTTCAACAGGTAGTGAGGGTAGAAGAAGCCAGATATTGTCTGGGGAATGTTCTTGCGGTGCTCGGGGTGAGAGATGAGGCCGTGCCAGTGACGGGAGACGCACTTGAATCGGCAGATCGATTTGACCGGCAGGCGAGACAGTATCTCGACGTATCTCGACGATGAGGTCATCGGTGAGGTCGGCGGCGGCAGTTGCGGCTCCGGCCCTCTTCTTGGAGGAATCCATCCGTTCCGTGGGGCACAGGTCAATCAATAATCAGTCACCACTCACCACCAAAACTGCAGACCTGCTCAGTTCTACGTTTCAGTAAAAAGAATCCAGCAAGTCGAACTGAATCAATTGACAAAAACACGATACCCTATTTTCTTACCTGAATGAAGACGCATGGCGATTGGCGGCGGCGGCGCCCCCAGCATCAAACTTGGGCAGACAACTACGACTACCGCCGTTTGGACATTCACCGTTGCCCCCGACGCTCGGCGCTCGCCTTTTCCATGGCCACGACACCCACGATGACGAGTCGGACGGGGCGAGTTTTCCGGACAAGCTCCAGCGGCGGCGTCTTCTGTCTTCCATCGAGGGGAGGAAGACCTGGACGAGTGCTGGCGAAGGGCACCCTACCGCCCGCTGGCCCAACAGCGCAATAATGGGATTCCCGTTCCCCTTCTGCAAGGAGCCTGGGATGGGCCGATCCGTCTGGCCCATGTGTCCCATTAATGATCCAACAAGGCTGCCCCGTCTCCACAGTGGATAACGAAGGGATAAGCTGGGCAACGGCCACTCCCATCCCCGCACTTCACCGGCCTCCGCCTCCCCCTCCCCTCCATCGCCGTCGCCGGGGCGTCCTACAACTCCAAAATGGCGGCCACTGCCACCGCCATGGCCATAGCAACTATCTCCCCCTCCGCCCCGATCCCATCCGCGCCCTTCCCATCCCTCGGCCTCCGCCTCCGCCTCCGCCTCCGCCCTCAACCCCTCCTCCTCGCTGCCTCCCGCCGCCTCCTCCTCCCTGTCCCAAAGGCCTCTTCCTGGGACGACTCCGTCGCCGAGGAGGGAGGAGACGCGGAGGAATCTGCCGCCGCTGGGGACCAGGAGGAGGACGACGAGGACGAGAAGCCGCGGCCGGAGCCGGTGTCCTCCTCCGAGTTCCAGTTCGCGGCGCCCCCCGAGGGCTACGTCGAGCCTGCGGCGTTTGACGAGCTGCCGCCGGAGTCCCCAGAAGACGTGGCGGCGGCGTACGAGTCGCTCTACGGGCCGGCCTTCAGCGGCGAGTCGTTGCTGGGGAACAACGTCTACGAGGTCAAGGTGGTCGACCCCATCGACATGGACCGGGAGCAGCGCCCCAACGACGATTTCACCGAGCGCGTCGTGCAGGTCAACCGCGTCACCAAGGTCGTCAAGGGAGGCAGGCAGCTCTCCTACCGCGCAATCGTCGTCGTTGGAGACATGAAAGGCCACGTTGGCGTCGGCGTGGGAAAGGCCAAGGAGGTCACGGAGGCCATCACCAAGGCCGCCATGAACGGACGACGCAACCTTGTCACAGTGCCGCTCACTAAGTACTCCACGTTCCCGCACAGGTCAGTGACATTGTCCAGCACTATTTAAGATTCGCTTGTTACTTGAATTGCTCCCAAGTCCCAAGATGGTTAGCCTACACCTAATCCTTGTTAGTTTGAATTTAGTGAGATATTCCGTACATTGAGCGGTCAAGGTTAATTGTGCCTGCCAACTGATAGAAATAAAGCTGGTTTTAGACTTGCTTTCAATTTATTGCACTATTCTTCTACCTTGACTGAGGCCTAAGAAAAACATACAGTAAGCTGTCTTAAGAAATGAGACTAGTGGCTGCAACATCAAGTGTTTCTGGTTCTCTTGTGGTACTATTCTTGACCCAATGTGGCTATTTTGAAGCTAACATGACTTTTGAAAATTGTTCCTACTAGTCCATTTCTATTTGACAGATGCACTAAAGTGTCATGGTCATTTATCTTTTGTTTGATCTTGTTTGATGGTAAACTCAATCTGAATTTTTTCTTCACTAATTAGTAATTCTTTGCATTGACAGCAAACTCCATGTTAGCTCCACTACTGTAGTCGTGTCTCCTTTTCTGTAGTCTGAATGTTCCTGTTGTGTGGATAAGCCTATAGTAATTCACTTGTTTCAGATTAGCATGGTGTCATAATCATAATTATGGTGTCATGAAGGTTGCTTGCCATTGATGGAGTTCATTTTATATTGACAGATTTGAAGGGGATCTTGAACAACATGGCTGAGAAAACTTAAAATAAATCATTTTAATTTACTTTAACAGTTTAATGCAGAGAAGTTAAATTGAGGTCTATACAGTTCTTAAATGATATACAGCCACAAACTAGTATGATTTGTTTGTAACAGTGTTTGTCAGCGATGAATATTTAAGCTATCATTTTTATGAATCCAAAATGCACTAAGTAGTTCAGCCCTGTTCGCTTGAACTACTTCAGCAGTACTTTTCAGCGAACAGTGTTTTCCTCTCACAACAAATCAGCATAAGCCAAATTTCAGCGAAACGAACAGGCATACGCCGTTTCGCTGAAATTTGGCTTATGCTGATTTGTTGTGCACATACATCTTTGTTTTTAGACAATTTAATGCACTGTTTTGGTCTTTCATTCTGTTAGTACTAATTTGGGTCAGTTATAAAATTTTTATGGCAATTATCAGAAGAAGTTTCTTGAGCTGTGCTTTTTCAAGTATTATTTGTACTATTTGCAAGGTCGCATCAATTATATCTGTTCTTTGTGCTAATTCTATTGGCATGTCTTACATTTTCAAATTCAAAACATGAGTAATACTCGTGTTTGAATTTATGCTTCTATAGAGTTTTGAACATGTCTTGGAGTTAACTATAGCACTTTGTGGTTTTAGAGAAAAAAAGATTCTGAACCTGGTTTTGATAATAATGGAGCAATGCTACAAAGATGCAGCCTACCTTTCAACTTTTCCATGTTGGAAAATAATGAATATTGCATTTTACCCTGTCATTTTGATGTTGGTTTAAAAATTAAAATCGACATGTCGTGCCAACCAATCCTTTTATCAGCTTTCGTACAAATACACTTCTGAGTAATCTAGAACCTATTTGACAAATCAACTTCAGGCAAATGAATTCATTCGCTCAATGTTTCTGACTTGGTTTTCAAAAAGGAGCTAGCCTGACACGAAAAGCCAGAATATCTGGTCCAACAAAAAAAGATTCTCATAATTCGGTTTAATTGCCAAATGGATTAGAAGCTTGTACTTAAGTCAGTTGGTGTTTGCAATTTATAGGCTCCCTCACTAAGTGTGCATTCTGGTTAAGAGGTTGTGACATAATTTTGCAAACTCTTTAGTCACTACTGAAGTCTGTACTCAACTTATTTCAGTTTTATGCCTCCTGAACTTACCATATTCTTTTTTCTCTTGGGACACATTACTAGTACTGTTTTATTCCCCTTGAATGTTTGCCATGTTATGAATTGGTGAATCTTGTGGCACCCCAAGCAATAATAGGATTCTCCCACTCCTTTTTCTATGATAGATGGGTCTATATATAACTGTAAAAGTTGAGCATGTATTGATGTTATTGCAATCTGAACATTTGTCTTGGTTTTTGCTGCAATGCGAGCAGAGCTGATGCGGACTATGGAGCAGCCAGGGTGATGTTGAGGCCTGCTTGCCCTGGATCTGGTGTTATTGCTGGTGGAGCTGTGAGGGTTGTGTTGGAGATGGCTGGTGTTGAAAATGCTCTGGGTAAGCAACTGCGCAGCAAGAACCCCCTGAACAACGCACGAGCCACCATCAAGGCGACGCAGACGATGAAGCAGTTCAAGGATGTCGCTGAGGAGCGTGGTGTTCCAATGGAGGAGCTATGGAAATGATAAAAACAAATCGAAACCAAAACCAACTCCTTTTGTAGCATTCTTTCTCCTTTCGCTGTATTTTTCTTAAGTTCTTCGTTTTTTCTGTTGAAGGGCGGGCCTGGTGCAAGCGGTAGAGTCTTACCGCCTGTGACCGGAAGGTCCCGGATTCGAGTCGCGGTCTCCTCGCATTGTATATGCGAGGGTAATGCTTGCCACTAACACTCTTTCTTAGATCCCGCACAGAGCGGGAGCTCTCTGCACTGGGTACGCTCTTTCGTTTTTTCTGCTGTATCTATCTATGGGATAACCCCGCCTCACGATTTCTTTTTTTGCTTATCCCTTCTGAGATCTGTGAGTAGTGGCAGCATTTACACGCAAGTTTCCGATGAAAATTGAATCCATGGAATCTGACCCTGTACGCATACTCTTCACATCTGTACACTAACTCCTGGTAGAAATTCAGACCAAATAATGAACAGATTCAGCACAAAAATGCATCTTTGTCTGTACAGTCCATGTAAGTCAGTTATCTAGCTTCATCTGGCACATCGACTACTAGATGAAATCCGTATCAAAGAATGAACAAATTCAGCCCGTATAAGAGTACATATCTATGTAGCCTCGCACGCCGCGCCGACCATCTGTTGGAACCGGTCGACGCCGCATGGGATCCTCAGCACGCCTGGTTGGGCATAGCCGAACTGCTGCGCGGCCATCTCCAGAACGGCCGCCATGCATGGCTCCTTGAGCATCTCGACGTGCACCATGATCCTCTCCTCGCTGCCCTCCTCATCGTCGCCGACGAGCACCACGGGGACGTAGCCTCTCGGGGTCCTCCCGTGATCGCCGTCGCCGGGCAACAAAGCTGCTAATAAGGCTTGCCGCCGCGACGGTGCTGCGGCGGACCTGGGGCTCCCGTTCACCGGTTTCTTCCACACTGCCGCCATCGCTATTGTCGCCGACACAGGATCGGAGCTAAGGCTTGCCGACACAGGATCTGTACACTAATAAGCTGAAGCTGCAGCAGGTTAGTTGCTTGCGAGAAGAAGGGCGCGCAGCGTGATATGATCACTTGCCGATGCACAAGTGCAGATGCTGCTGGCCGACTGGCCCGGCCGTGGGGGTTGGTTATATATGCATCGGTTTTACAAAGGGACCGGATCACCGGAGGAGGGACTGAGGGAGGACCATCGACCATGGTTTCGTACGCAAAACGCGGGGAGGTCTTGGAAGAACTCAGGGGACGGTCCAACCAAACGTGGATCGTGCGGTGATGTGTGTCTGGTGAGACGTGGACACGTGGAAAGGGTCACCGGAAATGGTCTACTTGGGTATACTTGTGGGCCCGGCCGGTTCAATCGCCATGTCGCTCCGTCAAAGCATCTTGGAACACCTACTATCAAGATTAAAGGAATGTTATGTGAGCACCTACTGGAACGTGACGGGAAGTGATTATTAAAACTAAAGGATTGTTATGAACACCTACTAGAACGTGATGCGGAGGTTATAATAACAAAGCAAAGCTCAATTTCTTGTGATGGAGTGTTACGAACGCAAGACGTGTGAAAAGGTGTATCAATCAAAGTGTTATTAAAAATTGAAGGAGTGTTTCGGATACAAAGGTTCCACATGTCTCGATCCTCTCCTAGACCCCCTACCATTTGGACGTACGATTGGGCATGGTACCGTCATCTGACCAGGACATCTCATTGGAGCAATGGTGGATCAATTCCATTACAAATGACGAAGCGAGAGATACGTGGTGGACATCCTACGGTCAGGGGGCGCTGGTTGCGCCCATCAGAGGAATGGCTATGCTGGCACCGACCCATGGTTGGCAGCTAGATTCGTGTGGCCGATAGGGGGGTTGGTTTTCAAGGGACCTAACAGCCAGTTCCGCAGGGCAGCAGCGAGAGATACGTGGTGGCGGCCAGTGCTACGCACGGCTTAGGCTGTGTCAGGGTTGTAACCCTGGCATATCTTAAGGCACCGATTAGTTAGCAGGCCAAACGGCTCGCAAGACATTAGCTGGCGAAGACCTGAACGACCGAGGCCCAGTTAAGCCAAACAAACCAGGCCAGACATCAAGGCCGGGGTCAGCCACGACCCCTCCCTCTTGCCTTAGTCGCACGATGTTCAATGGGTGTACGACCCCTCCACAGTCCTGACCCCTGGGAGGAATGAGGAGAGGTCGAGCCCAGCCAAACACACCCACTCTGGCAAGAGAAAGCATGCCACACTGACCCCACGAGGACCGAGGGGACAGCAGTCACCTCAGCCCGGTCAGACACCATCCCTGTGCCACGCCGCACTGACGAGACAACACTGCACCACGGTGGCAACGGGTACGATACCCACCGTCCAAATACGAACCGAGTAGATGCATGTACAACCCCACCCACTACAGGATGGGATCCACGACAAGAGTCTCAACACATAGGCCATCTAGACCGGCAGAGAATCCCGACCCCGATGCTCGGGGTGTGGCTCTCAACCTCGTGAAGCCACCAGGCGAACGACGACCCAGGGCGGTCATGTACTTCGGGTACGACGCCCCTGGGAACCAGGAGACGTTGACGAAGACCATGATAGACACCGCGTTGCACATGCCAGTTGACGAACTGCCATCGAGGCTACAATAGCACCATGTCACATCCTGCCGCAACGAGGCCAGAAGACCATGACGATAGCCACGACCGAACAAGCACCAGAAGACGGCGTAGCTTGCAAGCCAAGTTAGCTAGGCCCTCCCTCAGGCTCTCGACCCTTCGGTCGGGAGAACCTCCTCTTTGTATAAGCCCTAGCCCTGAACTCTATATAACGACAGCCAGGGCAAGACGATTCACATCCTCTACCAATCCATTCATTCACCATTGTAGTAGGGCTCCTAGAGCTTCTCTTCGAGCAGCCCTTCACCTAGCAAAGGTCCTTCCATCTCTTCCACCTTTCTTGCACCCCCCATTGTAAGAACTTCAGAGCATTCAAGCGAGGAACACACACTCAATCATCTTTGAGACTGGATATAGGGCTTAGGCCTGAATCAGTATAAATCCTCGTGTCTATTGGATGCTACCATCGTCTTCCTAGAGCAGCGCGACAGTCGTATAAATTTACTAGTCCAGTGTATAAAACGGCGACAGTTGGCGCGCCAAGTAGGGGACAGTCGCGCACTCTCCTCTGTTGAGAAGGAAGTGATGGCTCCTCGCACTGCCTGTGAACTCGCTGGTGGAATGGCCCACGGTGGCCACATCCACCGCAAAAACTATGAGTTCACTGGCATCAAAGGGCTAGCACCCGCGAATGCCCGCGGCTACAACCCAAACCTCTGCCATAGAGATCCAGTACATGTAGCCCGCAGCAGACACACTCTCAGAATTACCTCCGGTGGCAGCATCCTGGAGTTCACCTACCCAGAGGGGCCAGTACCCTCGCTCACCGCCGGCCGCGGCCAGGCCTCACGTTTGAGAAATCAGAGGTCCATGGCTTGCAATGAACTCGCCCTGGGAATGGCCTCAACTAGCCACATCCTTTTGGGAAACCACATGGTTAACCACACCAAAGGGCCAGCGTCCGCGTCCACCTTTAGCCTCAGCCCGGACCTCCACCCTGGAGGTCTGAATACTATGGTCCATGGAGGACATATTCTTGGAACTGCCCTCGGGGGCTGCATCCCAGAGTTCACCTACATAGGGGGTCCAACACCCTCTCTCGCCATTGACCACGACCAAGGCTTCCACCTAGGAAGTCAGAAGCCTGTGGCTCATGGAGAGCTCGCCCGAGGAATGGCCCGCGGTGGCCATATCCTTTTAGGGAACCACGAGATCGCTTGAACCAACGGATCAACGTCCGTCACCGGTTTCTACCCAGTCCATACCAGCTGCGTAGAACAACTAGACCCTATGGTAGAGCTACGCCCCGATCAGCATCTCCGCCACCAGCGGAATGCAATGAGCCAGGACACACATGGGCGACAAAACTACCTGCCGCCGCGCATCGTCGTCGCTAGTGATTAGGCAGCCAGCCGGTGCCACATCGCATAGGGCCAAGCCTGGAACCAAGATCCAACCCTGCATGATGAACAAGCCGCACGACAAGTCTCTGTGAACTGTCAGCTGTTACTCAGAGGCGCGTGCATCCGAGGAAGCAGGTTCTCTGAGCGTGTCGCGTGCCGCGATGAGTGGACCAAACCATGAGGCATTTAGATCCCACTTCCACAGCTACAGGTCACGCCAGACCCTCGTCGGGAGTGGCAACCTAAAAGGTCCTAATGGCTAGAGGGGGGGGGTGAATAGCCTAATAAAATTTCTACAACAACACTTAATCAAAATGGTTAGACAATTATGAGGCAAAACAAGTGTTGCGCTAGCCTACTTAAAATGCAAGCCGCCTACCGCAATTCTAGTTTAGATAGTATCTAATCACACAATAGCTATGACACTACTCTATATTAGTGTGCTCTCAAAGGCTAACTAAAGAGCCACACTAACCAAGCAAACAAGCTCTCACAACTAGCTACACTAAAGAGCTTGACAACTAGTTTGCGGTAAGGTAACGAGTAGGCAAGAAGGTTATACCGCCGTGTAGATGTATGAACCAATCAATCACAAGTGTGGATAACAATGAAGACCAATCACCTCGGAATCAATATGATGAACACAATGATTTTACCGAGGTTCACTTGCTTGCCGGCAAGCTAGTCCTCGTTGTGGCGATTCACTCACTTGGAGGTTCACGTGCTAATTGGCCTCACACGTCAAACCCTCAATAGGGTGCTGCACAACCAACACAAGATGAGGATCACACAAGCCACGAGCAATCCACTAGAGTACCTTTTGGCGCTCCGCTGGGGAAAGGTCAAGAACCCCTCACAATCACCACGATCGGAGCCGGAGACAATCACCACCCTCCGCTCGACGATCCTCGCTGCTCCAAGCCGTCTAGGTGGCGGCAACCACCAAGAGTAACAAGCGAAATCCGCAGCGAAACACGAACACCAAGTGCCTTTAGATGCAATCACTCAAGCAATGCACTTGGTGTTGGAGATATGCCCTAGAGGCAATCATAGAGATGATGATATTCTAGTGTATCCATGTTTTATATTGTGTTCCTTGAATATCCATTAAAGGCTACTTGAATTGATTTGCAATTATGTGAATTGTATGTGAAACTCTTTACTTGTATGGTCATTCTAAAGTTGTCCCTAGTCGGAGTTCATGTGAGGACACACATGAATATTAGACTAGTACATGTATTAACTGATGACTATGTTTCACAAGTCATGGACATGAAGATGTCAAACTAATAATGTGGGCACATGTATGACATGGGGCTGGACTGACCCAAAGTGAGATGTTGTTATTATCTCTATTCACATCATGTACGTTATGTCCTTAGACCTGAGATTGTTGTATGTATTCAAGATGTGAAACGACATACTCAGGGACTATCAAACGCTACTCCGTAATAGGGTAGTTATAAAGGTGGTTTTCAGGTTTGTCGGGAAACATGCTATGAGACATAGACAATCAAGATGGAATTTGCCCCTCTCTATATGAGAGAGATATCACTGGATCACTCTAATGATTAGATCAAGAAATGCATGGCCGTGCTTGGGTTAAGTGTTAACCTATGAGTTGGACCAAATATTGTGTGGCAAGGGAATAACAAGTATGTGGTTTTGTGGTGGTTCGTCTGATATGATCTTTGTGTGCGCATAGGAGTTGACATGCCTTGCTAGAGGCCGCTATCAACTAATGGACGAGTAGGAGTACTCGGGCCATGTCTATGTGTACGTGAACCCATAGGGTCGCACGCTTAAGGGGCTGTAAGCCTAATTCGGATTGGATTTGAGTTAGACAAGGCTTAGGGTTACTAATGGGCCTCCAACTCGGGAGCTCATCAGGGACGCCTATAAATAAGTAGGGTGGGCAACGGGGCTAATCGATCT